GTTTAAATAAAAATTTGAAAAGAAAAAAAGGTATATATAATGGTCATACCAGGAGATGTGAAAGAGAAAGAAGAAGGAAAAAATCTGTAAGAAAATAATGTTCCCAAACTCTAGAAGTTAACAGGAAAATATTCATTGGCATATATGGAAGTTTAATGACTTCCAAGTACAATAGATGGGAAGTGACCCACCCTATGCAAATTATTTTTAAAATGTTGAAAGCCATATACAGGAAATTTTGAAAGAGGCAAGAGAAAAACAACTCATCCTGTACAAGATAAGCAGAAGATTCACTGCTGATTTCATTTCAGTAACAGTGTGGGCTAGAAGGCAGTGTGAGGCATATTAAATTAATAAATTAATAAATACTAAATCATATTAATTAAATATTAAACAATATATAATATATAATGTACATTACATATATAATATATGTCAAATATTAATATTAAAATTAATTATATTTATTAAATTAATAAATATTAAACAATATTAAAAGTATTGAAAACTAAGGTTAAGGGGATTTGTGACTTTTCTAGCTCACAATGAAACTATGAATGTTTAGAAATGGGAATTGAGCCTACATTTACTTGATCTAAATCAATAGTATTGAGTAATGTGTCCCTGATCTCAATAGGCATAAAATTTACTTGAGGTGCTTATTTAAAATGCAGATTTCTAGACTACCATCTTACAGATTCTCATCCTAAAGATTTGGAGCAGGTAGCAGGAATTTGCATTTTAATTATTCCAGAAGTAATTTTGACGTGAGTCATTTCAGAATCACAGTACAAAATATAATGGAATAAATGAAAGAGTGAGCAATGAGCTTCACACATAAGCATGTAAATTCTCAGTCATCATTACCTACCTGCTTAATAGGGCAGGATGTGTAGAGTCTCAGAGTTTTAAGGGTATTTTAGTGAAAATGGAAAATATAGTAACTTATAAGGTTATTGTGAGAATTAAGTTACTGTATATGAAGTTGAACCCCAAATCTACTGAGCCTTTTCTATTGTATTCCCTGCTTCATTGCTCATTACACTCTATTGTCATTCCCCTTTTCTGATGTTACCTTCTAAAACCATAATTATTTCCAACTCAAAATGATAACTTTTCCTTCTGGTATTATATTTATGCTTGAGAAATATTTTTGAATTAAGACTGTCTGCTTAGATTATTGACATAAGGAAATCAGATATCAAACCTGGCTACAAAATACATTTTTTTTTCAGTGAAATATTTTTGTAGAAATGTAAATGCTTGTTTTCTTCTTTTAATAAATGCAATACAAAGATGGCGGAAGAGTAGGGGTCTCAACACACCTGGCTCCACAAACTTACCTCAATAACTTTCAAAACATGAAACCTGAACACCTATGAATTCGACTTGAGATTTGAAGAGAGAACAATCGTAATGCAACAGATAAAAGTTTTTGCTTCTAACAAGGTAGGAAGGCAAAAAAATAAATAAAAATTAAAAAGAATCAAGTGGGGGAGGGGCCCTGCGAGGAGCCGGGCTAAGGCGGAGCAGCAAAAGCCTCCATGGCAGGAAAGCCCAGCCTTGGAGAAATGGGAACTTTAAAAATCCGTGCCAGTTTTCCCTGCCGGAAAAGTGCTCAGCAGGTAAATCAGTCAAAATAGCAGGAGGGGCAGTGAAGCCTCCAGATTCCCGGAGTCACTATAAAAGGAAGAGCACCCAGGGGTAAGTGCACTGCAAACTGCCAGCTGATCTTGGTAAGGGGCTTGAATGCCCCACTTGGTGGAGCATCTGGGAGATGCGTCAGTTAGGCAGGCAGCTCCAGACAGAGGTGGCTGGGCCCATTCCCTTTGGGAGAGGCATTCCCCCCGGGAGTGCAGGTTCAGCAGCGCAGGGCCCCAGATCCCAGGGTGCCCAAGGGGACACAGCCTACGATCCTGCATCCCCTCTGGGACAGGCAGAGGTGGGGAGGGCACAGGACAGTGAGGAATCTCCTGCCACCAGGCACCCCAAAGCTGTGCAGATTAGTGCACCTGCACCGGCCTGGGAGCATGTAGGCCAGTGTGGACTGGGAGACTGCAGTTAGCTGCAGTTCTCTGACCGCAGAGCTGGGGACCTGGCCATCGCCAGTGTTATTGTTCCTCCTTGTGTCACCATGTGCCTGGGAGAAGTGGTGTCGCCAGGGGACAGAGGCTTCATGGGGTCAAACTCTCACTCAGCCGGGCACCCGGCAGGAGGCGGGGCATCTCCTCCAGGTGCACACACCTGAGAATCAGCACAGCAGGCCCCTCCCCCAGAGCTGGAAGAACAGAGAAAGAGCAAGTTCTTGACCAAGAAGTGCTGGAAAGCTCCAGGGCTGAGAGAAAATAGTATATAGAACTAGAGGTTCCTTTTTTTTTTTTTTTTTTTTTGCTTTTTCTATTACGTTTCATTTTTATATCAGACTAAAAATTTCCAATATTTTTCTCTCTTTTCCCACCTTAACTACATTAAAAGCCTGTGAGGAAAGGTTTAGGAAAATAAATGATCGCCTCAGATGGAAGAATATACATCTAATTGGGATTCCAGAAGAGGCTGAGAGAGAGAGAGAGGACCACAAAGTATATTTGAACAAATCATAGCTGAAAACTTCCCTAATTTGGGGAGGGAAGCAGGCATTCAGATCTAAGAGATAGAGAGGACTCCCCCCCAAAATCAATAAAAACCGTTCAACAGCTCCACATTTAATACTGAAACTTGCAAATTCCAAAGATAAAGAGAAAATTCTTTATTTTTTTTATTTTTTTATTCATGATAGTCATAGAGAGAGGAGAGAGAGGCAGAGACACAGGCAGAGGGAGAAGCAGGCTCCATGCCAGGAGCCCGACGTGGGACTTGATCCCGGGACTCCGGGATCGTGCCCCGGGCCAAAGGCAGGCGCCAAACCGCTGAGCCACCCAGGGATCCCAAAGAGAAAATTCTGAAAGCAGCTCGAGACAAGAGATTCTTAACTTCCATGGGGAGAAATATCAGATAAACAGCAGATCTCTTCACAGAGACCTGGCAGGCCAGAAACGGCTGGCAGGATATACTCAGAGTCCTAAATGAGAAGAACATGCAACCAAGAATACTTTCTCCAGTAAGGCTCTCTTTCAGAATGGTGGAGAGATAAAGAGCTTCCAGGAGAGGCAGACCCTGAAAGAATATGTGACCACCAAACCAGCTCTACAAGAAATATTAAGGGGGACTTTGTAAAAGAAAGAGGAAGCCCAAATAAATAATCCACAAAACCAGGGACTGAATAAGTATAATGATGACACTAAATTCATATCATTCAATACTAACTCTGAACGTGAATAGGCTAAATAATCCCATCAAAAGACACAGGGTATCAGACTGCATAAAAAAAAAAAACAAAAAAAAAAAAACAAAAAAAAAAAAAAACAAGACCCATCTATTTGCTGTCTACAAGAGACTCATTTTAGACCTAAGGACACCTCCAGCCTGAAAATGAAGGGGTGGAGAACCATTTACCATTCAAATTGTCCTCAAAAGAAAGCTGCAGTAGCAATCGTCATTTCAGATGAATTAAGGTTTATACCAAAGACTATAGTAAGAGATAGAGAGGGACACTATCATACTTAAGGGTCTATCCAACAAGAAGACCTAATAATCATGAGTATTTATGCTCCTAATGTGGGAGCTGCCAAGTATATCAATCAATTAATAACCAAAGTAAAAAGATACTTAGATAATGATACACGGCACTTTCTGCAAATGACAGATCTTCTAAGCACAACATCACCAAAGACACAAGGGCCTTAAATGACACACAGCCCCAATTAGATTTCACAGATATATACAGAACTTTACATCTGAACACAACTGAATACACATTCTTCTCAAGTGCACATGGACCTTTTCCAGAATAGACCACATACTGGGTCACAAATAAGGACTCAACTGATACCAAAAGATTGGGATTGTCCCCTGCATAGTTACAGAGCACAGTGCTTTGAAACTAGAAAGCAATCACAAGAAGAAATTTGGAAGAAACTCAAACACTGGAGGTTAAAGAATATCCTACTGTAAGATGAATGGGTCAATCAGGAAATTAGAGCAGAATTCAAAAGATTCATGATAACTAATGAAAATGAAGATACAACAATTCAGAATCTTCGGGATACAGTAAAAGCGGTCCTAAGAAGGAAATATATCACAATAGAAGCTTCCCTCAAAAAATGGAAAAAACCTCAAATAAACAAGCTAACCTTGTAGCTAAAGGAATTGGAGAAAGAACAGCAGTTAAACCTACACCAAGCAGAAGAGAGATAATAAAGATTCAAGCAGAACTCAATGAAATCGAGACCAGAAGAACTGTGGAACAGATCAACAAAACCAGGAGTTGGTTCTTTGAAAGAATTAATAAGATAGATAAACTATTAGCTGGCCTTATTAAAAACAAAAGAGAAGACTCTAATTAATAAAATCACGAATGAAAAAGTGAACACAACCAATACCAAAGATATACAAACAATTTAAAAAACATATTACGAGCAGCTATATGCCAATAAATTAGGCAACCTAGAAGAAATGGACACATTTCTGGAAAACCAGAAATTACCAAAACTGAGACAGGAAGAAATGGAAAACCTGAACAGGCCAATTACCAGGGAGGAAATTGAAGCAGTCATCAAAGACCTCCCAAGACACAAGAGTCCAGGGCCAGATGGCTTCCCAGGGCAGCCCTGGTGGCGCAGCGGTTTAGCACCACCTGCGTGATCCTGGAGACCCTGGATCGAGTCCCACGTCAGGCTTCCAGCGTGGAGCCTGCTTCTGCCTCTGCCTGTGTCTCTGCCTCTCTCTCTGTCTCTATGAATAAAAAAAAAAATTAAAAAAAATGGCTTCCCAGGGGAATTCTATCAAACATTTAAGGAAGAAATAATACCTGTTTTACTAAAGCTGTTCAGAAGGATAGAAAGGGATGGAATATTTCAAACTCATTTTATAAGGCCAGCATCACCTTAATTCCAAAACCAGATAAAGACCCCACCAAAAAGTAGAAATATAGAAAAATATCCTTGATGAATAAACATGTATGCCAAAATTCTCTCCAATATACTAGCCAATAGGATCCAACAGTATATTAAGAAGATTATTCACCATGATGAAGTGGGATTTATCCCTGGGATGCAAGGGTGCTTCACTTGATCTTAGCCAAAAGGCCGAGAAGCGATTGCAAGGGTGCTTCAATACTCATGAAACAATCAATGTGATAGATCACATTAACAAAAGAAAAACCAAGAACCATAGGATCCTCTCAATAGATGCAGAGAAAGCATTTGACAAAATACAGCATCCATTCCTGATCAAAACTCTTCAGAGTGCAAGGATAGAGAGAACATTCCTCAGTATCTTAAAAGCCATCTATGAGAAGCCCATAGCAAATATCATTCTCAATGAGGAAACACTCAGAGCTTTTCCCCTAAGATCAGGAACAGAAGGATGTCCACTCTCACCTGCTATTCAACATAGTAATAGAAGTCCTAGCCTCAGCAATCAGGCAACAAAAGGAAATAAAAGGCATTCAAATCAGCAAAGAAAAAGTCCAACTCTCCCTCTTCGCAGATGTCACGATACTATATATAGAAAACCCAAAAGACTCCAAGATTGCTAGAACTCATACAGCAATTCGGCAGTGTGGCAGGATACAAAATCAATGCCCAGAAATCAGTGGCATTTCTATACACTAACAACGAGACTGAAGAAAGAGAAATTAAGGAATTAATTCCATTCACAATTGCATCCCCAAAGCATAAGATACCTAGGAATAAACTGAACCAAAGAGGTAGAGGATCTATACCCAAAAAACTACAGAACACTTCTGAAGGAATTGAGGAAGACACAAAGAGATGGAAAAACATTCCTTGCTCAAGATTGGAAGAATAAGTATCGTGAAAATGTCTATGCCACTCAGGGTAATCTGCACATTCAATCCAATCACTATGAAAATACCATTGACTTTACTCACAGAATTGGAACAAATAATCTTGAGATTTGAAAATGGAATCAGAAAAGACCCCAAATAGCCAGGGGAATATTGAAAAAGAAAACCAATGCAAGGGGCATCACAATGCCGGATTTCAAGTGGTGTTACAAAGTTATGATCATCAAGGCAGTGTGGTACTGGCCGAAATACAGACACAAAGGTCAATGGAACAGAATAGAGAATTCAGAAGTGAGCCCTCAACTCTATGGTCAACTAATATTCGACAATACAGGAAAGACTATCCACTGGATAAAGGACAGTGTCTTCAATAAATGGTGCTGAGAAAATTGGACAACCACATGCAGAAGAATGAAACTAGATCATTCTCTTACATCATACACAAAGATAAACTCAAAATGGATGAAAGATCTGAATGTGAGACAAGATTCCATCAAAATCCTAGAGGAGAACGCAAGCAACACTCTTTTTGAACTTGGCCACAGCAACTTCTTGCAGGATACATCCATGAAGGTAAGAGAAACAAAAGCAAAAATGAATTATTGGGACTTCATCAAGATAAAAAGCTTCTGCACAGCCAAAGAAACTAGTCAACAAAACTAAGAAACCTACAGAATGGGAGAAGATATTTGCAAATGACGTATCAGATAAAGGGCTAGTATCCAAGATCTATAAAGAACTTATTAAACTCAACAGCAAAGAAACAATCCAATCATGAAATGGGCAAAAGACATGAAGAGAAATCTCACAGAGGAAGACATAGACATGGCCAACATGCACATGAGAAAATGCTCTGCATCACTGGCCATCAGGGAAATACAAATCAAAACCATAATGAGATACCACCTCACACCAGTGAGAATGGGGAAAATTAACAAGATGGGAAACAACAATATTTGAGAGGATGTGGAGAAAGGGGAGCCCTCTTGCACTGTTGTGGGAATGTGAACTGGTACAGCCACTCTGGAAAACTGTGTGGAGACTCCTCAAAGAGTTAAAAATAGAACTATCCTGACCCAGCATTTGCACTACTGGGGATTTACCCCAAAGATAGCAGTGAAAGACCGAGGCACCTGCACCCTAGTGATCATAGCAGCAATGTCCACTATAACCAAACTGTGGGAGGAGCCTCAGTGTCCTTTGACAGAAGAAAGGATAAAGAAGATGTGGTCTATATATACAATCGAATATTCCTCAGCCATCAGAAAGGATGAACACACACCATTTACTTCAACGTGGATGGAACTGGAGGGCATTATGCTGAGTGAAGTAAGTCAATCAGAGAAGGACAATTATCATATTATATCCCCGTTTCACACATATGGGGAATATAATAAATAGTGAAAGGGATTATAAGGGAAAGGAGGGGAACTGAGTGGGAAAAATTAAAGAGGGAGACAAATCATGAGAGACTCCTAACTCTGGGAAACGAACAACATTGGCTTTTAAATAGCGACCATGACTCCATGTTCACTTGAATGACTAGAATGGGGCAATAACCAATCATTTCTAAACAGTTACTTTCCATTTAAAGCCATATTAAGTATTTTGCCTGTTAAATTCTTGTTTTACATCTTAAATCTCTTACTGGTTACATTGCTGATTGGTTGCATCATGTATATTTATGCTTATGAGTTTGCATTATGACTCCTGCAAAATATGAGATTATATAATGCAATAAAAGTGTTATCTTTCTTACAAAAAGTTTTGTACCTAAGTGGATATAACTGCAAATGCTTCAATAAATTAATTTAGAGCTTAAAAAAAAAAGAGGAAGAGGAGGTGGGAGGGAGAATGGGGTGACTGGGTGATGGGCACTGAGCAGGGCACCTGATGCGCTGAGCACTGGGTGTTATACTATATGTTGGCAGATCGAACTTCAATAAAAACGATTGTGAAAATAAGTAAGTAAATAAATAAATGTGGTAATATTGGCTTAAGCTTATATTAGCCAATTAATGAATAACATAATTTCCGTCTTATTATTAAAAACAGAAGAGCAATCAATATTTTCCATAATCCTACTTATATTTAACTTGAAGAGTGTCCTATTGTTATAGATATGTGCATATGCATGCATGCACAAAAACAAGCATTCTTGAAAACTGTGATGAGCATTATTTTCATCAAGTGATTTATCTTGGATCACAAAAGAATGTGACAATCTGTATTTTCAAAGTTCTTTATTTAATGAGGAGAGTATCACCTAATATATATTGTTTTTGTGGAATAATCTTACTGACAACATATACTGAACGTCCAGGACATACTATGTGTGGTAGATAGACTCTTAAATTGGTCCCCATTATTTCCCATCCTGGTATTTAACCTCTATGTGATTCCTTCTGCTCTTGAATATAAGTGGAACCTGTCAGCTTCTAATCTTTTTGGTTAGAAGCAAAGGTGACAGGATGTAAGTGATTACATGTACTTGATTATGTTGTTATATCGTGTAAGGTATTAGCATTAATTTTTCTGGAGTATGTTTATCCTTTTTGGTTTTTAAGATGCAAACTGCCATATAGTGGGATTCGCAAGATGGGAGGCCCATTTGATAAGGAATTCCACATAGCTTCTGGAAGCTGAAAGCAGAGTATGGATGGCAGTCATCAAAAAACTGAAGTGCTTATTCCTAAAACTACTAGAAAACTAATTCTGCCAAAAATGTAAGTGATCTTGGGAGATTTTTTATTGGTGAGTCTCAGAGAAAACCACATCCAGAGCCATAACATTGTCACCTTGTGAAATCCTAAGCATAGCATCCAACTAAGCTATCCCATTTCCTGAACCACAGACACTGAGAAAATAACTATGTGATATTTTAAGCTGCTTAGTATGTAGCAATTTCTTATCCAGCAGTAGAAACTTAATATGCTACATTTATTTGTTTTATATCCCTTCTCTTTATTTGGTTACATGTTCTTAGAAGGCTAGATCATGTCTTCTGTTTTGGATTCACTTGTTTTTAAGGGGTTTAAAGGTAAAACTTCAAGGTAACCTCTATTAATATATGGTATACTGATAATACAAATATACATACTCATGTATGATATACTATTTTGTAATTTTCCAAGTGCTCTAATATGCATTCTCTCGTGTAATATACATTACTCGTGGCAAATACAGAAAGGTATTATATCTACTTCAGAAGTGGAGCAACTAAGGTTCAGAGTTAGGAGTAGCCCCCACTAAAGTCTTATAGGAAGTAAGCCATGATGATAACAAAAGCACTAATTGACTCGAGCCAGATCACAAATCTTGTCTTTAATCAAAAACTGGTTGGAATGCAATCTAGCCTCTGTGCAGGGCTGCTTCAGTTTATAACCAAACAGGCAAACAGGAAACAAATGAGCAAGCAAATTGCTCTGATATCATACTTTTCCATGTGTATGTAGGCTTGTCAGCCGATATAGTCTAATACTAATTAAGGAGCCCACCACGACAGAAAAGTGCAGAACTGAGACCTTTGCCTTTTAAACTATTATTCTAGGGTAATTGCCACATCAGCACTATGTTAGTACTGTGTAAAGGACTCTATGCTATATCATGTTAAAAATACTAGGCTCTATTTTTCAAGATCATCACATTAAAATAATGCCTGGCCATCTATCTATCCATTAGGTTACCATCCTAGTGTGATGTTATTTATTTTCTTTTAAAAAAATCATTTATTACATGCCTACTTTATACCACACTGTTTTTAAAAACATTAGTCTTACAGCAATTCTCTTAAGTAATACTATATGATAAATAATTTGGCTTGTTTTTGTTCCTAGTTCTTGGGAAGAAGATTAAATATTGGAACTTCCTGGGTGTAGGCTTGCTTGTCTTTGTTATTCATGGTGAGCCTTTGGAGTACACCTGAGTTCATTCTTTTCCTCATAAAAAATCTTTACCTTCACTCTGTAAGTGGGGCACTGTTTAGGTTTCTATAAGAATCTGTGCTCACAAATTTAAATTTTTTTTTTGAGTATAGTTGGGACACAAAATTACACTAGTTTCAGGCATTAGACATAGTGATTCAACAAGTTTTTATGTTATGTTATGCTCACCACAAGTAACCTATCACTGTCATCATACAACACCATCATTGACTATATTCCTTATGCTATGCCTTTTATCCCATGATTTGTTATTTCCATTACTGGAAAACTGTATCTCCCACTCCCCTCATCTATTTTTACTCATCCCTCCACACCTTCTTTCTGGCAACCATCAATTTGTTCTCTG